TTGTTCTATCACGGACATTTCAGGAAATATTGAATTTTATGTGACATAATGCAGATAAAGTTAGTATCAAAACGCGATAATGTAGATTCCATATCTATGCAAACAATCTAGTCAGTTGTTTCCACCTGAAATTTACATATTTGTCGCACAGGCAATGTGCGAGCTTTCCGCGCTTTTAGTGACACAGACATAACGTCATATTGAACTGTTAATTGACAGCACCAAAATCATTTTGCATTGGCCCGGGAATTGAACCCGGGCCTCCCGCGTGGCAGGCGAGAATTCTACCACTGAACCACCAATGCGATATGTTGTTGTTCTATCACGGACATTTCAGGAAATATTGAACTTTATGTGACATAATGCAGATTAAGTTAGTATCAGAACTTGATGATGTAGATTCCATATCTATACAAATAATCGCGTGGCAGGCGAGAATTCTACCATTAGAACCACCAATGCGCTATGTTGTTGTTCCATCACGGACATTTCAGGAAATATTGAATTTTATGTGACATAATGCAGATTAAGTTAGTATCCGTACTCGATAATGTAGATTCCATATATATACAAATAATCTAGTCAGTTGTTTCCACCTGAAATTTACATACGTATCGCATGGGCAATGTGCGAGATTTCCGCGCTTTTAGTGACACACAGAAATAACGTCATATTGAACTATTAATTGACAGCACCAAAATCATTTTGCATTGGCCGAGAATCGAAGCCGGGCCTCCCGTGTGGCAGGCGAGAATTCTACCACTGAACCACCAATGCGATATGTTGTTGTTCCATCACGGACATTTCAGGAAATATTGAATTTTATGTGACATAATGCAGATTAAGTTAGTATCAGAACGCGATAATGTAGATTCCATATCTATACAAACAATCTAGTCAGTTGTTTCCACCTGAAATTTACATATGTCTCGCACGGGCAATGAACGAGATTTCTGCGTTTTTAGTGACACACAGAAATAACGTCATATTGAACTATTAATTGACAGCACCAAAATCATTTTGCATTGGCCGGGAATCGAACCCGAGCCTCCCGCGTGGCAGGCGCAAATTCTACCACTGAACCACCAATGCGCTATGTTGTTGTTCTTTCACGGACATTTAAGGAATTATTGAACTCATGTGACATAATGCACATTAAGTTAGTATAAGAACTTGATGATGTAGATTCCTTATCTATACAAATAATCGCGTGGCAGGCGAGAATTCTTCCATTGAACCACCAATGCGCTATGTTGTTGTTGCATCACGGACATTTCAGGAAATATTGAATTTTATGTGACATAATGCAGATTAAGTTAGTATCAGTACTCGATAATGTAGATTCCATATCTATACAAATAATCTGGTCAGTTGTTTCCACCTGAAATTTACATACGTATCGCATGGGCAATGTGTGAGATTTCCGCGCTTTTAGTGACACACAGAAATAACGTCATATTGAACCATTAATTGACAGCACCAAAATCATTTTGCATTGGCCGGGAATCGAACCCGGGCCTCCCGCGTGGCAGGTGAGAATTCTACCACTGAAAAACCAATGCGATATGTTGTTGTTCCATCACGGACATTTCAGGAAATATTGACTTTTATGTGACATAATGCAGATTAAGTTAGTATCAGAACTCGATAATGTAGATTCCATATCTATACAAATAAACTAGTCAGTTGTTTCCACCTGAAATTTACATACATCTCGCATGGGCAATGTGCGAGATTTCCGCGCTTTTAGTGACACACAGACAACGTCATATTGAACTACTAATTGACAGCACCAAAATCATTTTGCATTGGCCGGGAATCTAACCCGGGCCTCCCGCGTGGCAGCGAGAATTCTACCACTGAACCACCAATGCGCTATGTTTTTGTTTTATCACGGACTTTTCAGAATATTGAATTTTATGTGACATAATGCAGATTAAGTTAGTATCAGTACTCGATAATGTAGATTCCATATCTATACAAATAATCTAGTCAGTTGTTTCCACCTGAAATTTACATACATCTCGCATGGGCAATGTGCGAGATTTCCGTGCTTTTAGTGACACACAGACAACGTCATATTGAACTACTAATCGACAGCACCAAAATCATTTTGCATTGGACGGGAATCGAACCCGGGCCTCCCGCGTGGCAGGCGAGAATTCTACCACTGAACCACCAATGCGCTATGTTTTTGTTTTATCACGGACATTTCAGGAAATATTGAATTTTATGTGACATAATGCAGATTAAGTTAGTATCAAAACGCGATAATGTAGATTCCATATCTATACAAATAATCTAGTTAGTTGTTTCCACCTGAAATTTACATACATCTCGCATGGGCAATGTGCGAGATTTTAGTGACACACAGACAACGTCAGATTGAACTATTAATTGACAGCACCAAAATCAGTTTGCATTGGCCGGGAATCGAACCCGGGCCTCCCGCGTGGCAGGCGAGAATTCTACCATTGAACCACCAATGCGCTATGTTGTTGTTCCATCACGGACATTTCAGGAAATATTGAATTTTATGTGACATAATGCAGATTAAGTTAGTATCAGTACTCGATAATGTAGATTCCATACATATACAAATAATCTAGTCAGTTGTTTCCACCTGAAATTTACATACATCTCGCATGGGCAATGTGCGAGATTTCCATGCTTTTAGTGACACACAGACAACGTCATATTGAACTACTAATTGACAGCACCAAAATCATTTTGCATTGGCCGGGAATCGAACCCGGGCCTCCCGCGTGGCAGGCGAGAATTCTAACACTGAACCACCAATGCGCTATGTTTTTATTTTATCACGGACATTTCAGGAAATATTGAATTTTATGTGACATAATGCAGATTTAGTAAGTATCAAAACGCGATAATGTAGATTCCATATATATACAAATAATCTAGTCAGTTGTTTCCACCTGAAATTTACATACATCTCGCATGGGCAATGTGCGAGATTTTAGTGACACACAGACAACGTCAGATTGAACTATTAATTGACAGCACCAAAATCAGTTTGCATTGGCCGGGAATCGAACCCGGGCCTCCCGCGTGGCATGCGAGAATTCTACCATTGAACCACCAATGCGCTATGTTGTTGTTCCATCACGGACATTTCAGGAAATATTGAATTTTATGTGACATAATGCAGATTAAGTTAGTATCAGTACTCGATAATGTAGATTCCATACATATACAAATAATCTAGTCAGTTGTATCCACCTGAAATTTACATACGTTTCGCATGGGCAATGTGCGAGATTTCCGCGCTTTTAGTGACACACAGACAACGTCATTTTGAACTGTTAATTGACAGCACCAAAATCATTTTGCATTGGCCGGGAATCGAACCCGGGCCTCCCGCGTGGCAGGCGAGTATTCTACCACTGAACCACCAATGCGATATGTTGTTGTTCTATCACGGACATTTCAGGAAATTTTGAACTTTATGTGACATAATGCAGATTAAGTTAGTATCAGAACTTGATGATGTAGATTCCATATCTATACAAATAATCGCGTGGCAGGCGAGAATTCTACCATTGAACCACCAATGCGCCATGTTGTTGTTCCATCACGGACATTTCAGGAAATATTGAATTTTATGTGACATAATGCAGATTAAGTTAGTATCAGTACTCGATAATATAGATTCCATATCTATACAAATAATCTAGTCAGTTGTTTCCACCTGAAATTTACATACGTATCGCATGGGCAATGTGTGAGATTTCCGCGCTTTTAGTGACACACAGAAATAACGTCATATTGAACTATTAATTGACAGCACCAAAATCATTTTGCATTGGCCGGGAATCGAACCCGGGCCTCCCGCGTGGCAGGCGAGAATTCTACCACTGAAAAACCAATGCGATATGTTGTTGTTCCATCACGGACATTTCAGGAAATATTGAATTTTATGTGACATAATTCATATTAAGTTTGTATCAGAACTCGATAATGTAGATTCCATATCTATACAAATAATCTAGTCAGTTGTTTCCACCTGAAATTTACATACATCTCGCATGGGCAATGTGCGAGATTTCCGTGCTTTTAGTGACACACAGACAACGTCGTATTGAACTACTAATCGACAGCACCAAAATCATTTTGCATTGGACGGGAATCAAAGCCGGGCCTCCCGCGTGGCAGGCGAGAATTCTACCACTGAACCACCAATGCGCTATGTTTTTGTTTTATCACGGACATTTCACGAAATATTGAATTTTATGTGACATAATGCAGATTTAGTAAGTATCAAAACGCGATAATGTAGATTCCATATATATACAAATAATCTAGTCAGTTGTTTCCACCTGAAATTTACATACATCTCGCATGGGCAATGTGCGAGATTTTAGTGACACACAGACAACGTCAGATTGAACTATTAATAGACAGCACCAAAATCAGTTTGCATTGGCCGGGAATCGAACCCGGGCCTCCCGCGTGGCAGGCGTGAATTCTACCACTGAACCACCAATGCGATATGTTGTTGTTCTATCACGGACATTTCAGGAAATATTGAACTTTATGTGACATAATGCAGATTAAGTTAGTATCAGAACTTGATGATGTAGATTCCATATCTATACAAATAATCGCGTGGCAGGCGAGAATTCTACCATTGAACCACCAATGCGCTATGTTGTTGTTCCATCACGGACATTTCAGGAAATATTGAATTTTATGTGACATAATGCAGATTAAGTTAGTATCAGTACTCGATAATATAGATTCCATATCTATACAAATAATCTAGTCAGTTGTTTCCACCTGAAATTTACATACGTATCGCATGGGCAATGTGTGAGATTTCCGCGCTTTTAGTGACACACAGAAATAACGTCATATTGAACTATTAATTGACAGCACCAAAATCATTTTGCATTGGCCGGGAATCGAACCCGGGCCTCCCGCGTGGCAGGCGAGAATTATACCACTGAAAAACCAATGCGATATGTTGTTGTTCCATCACGGACATTTCAGGAAATATTGAATTTTATGTGACATAATTCATATCAAGTTTGTATCAGAACTCGATAATGTAGATTCCATATCTATACAAATAATCTAGTCAGTTGTTTCCACCTGAAATTTACATACATCTCGCATGGGCAATGTGCGAGATTTCCGTGCTTTTAGTGACACACAGACAACGTCATATTGAACTACTAATCGACAGCACCAAAATCATTTTGCATTGGACGGGAATCGAACCCGGGCCTCCCGCGTGGCAGGCGAGAATTCTACCACTGAACCACCAATGCGCTATGTTTTTGTTTTATCACGGACATTTCAGGAAATATTGAATTTTATGTGACATAATGCAGATTAAGTTAGTATCAAAACGCGATAATGTAGATTCCATATCTATACAAATAATCTAGTTAGTTGTTTCCACCTGAAATTTACATACATCTCGCATGGGCAATGTGCGAGATTTTAGTGACACACAGACAACGTCAGATTGAACTATTAATTGACAGCACCAAAATCAGTTTGCATTGGCCGGGAATCGAACCCGGGCCTCCCGCGTGGCAGGCGAGAATTCTACCATTGAACCACCAATGCGCTATGTTGTTGTTCCATCACGGACATTTCAGGAAATATTGAATTTTATGTGACATAATGCAGATTAAGTTAGTATCAGTACTCGATAATGTAGATTCCATACATATACAAATAATCTAGTCAGTTGTATCCACCTGAAATTTACATACGTTTCGCATGGGCAATGTGCGAGCTTTCCGCGCTTTTAGTGACACACAGACAACGTCATTTTGAACTGTTAATTGACAGCACCAAAATCATTTTGCATTGGCCGGGAATCGAACCCGGGCCTCCCGCGTGGCAGGCGAGTATTCTACCACTGAACCACCAATGCGATATGTTGTTGTCTATCACAGACATTTCAGGAAACATTGAAATTCATGTGACATAATGCAGATTAAGTTAGTATCAAAACGCGATAATGTAGATTCCATATCTATACAAATAATCTAGTCAGTTGTTTCCGACTGAAATTTACATACATCTCGCATGGGCAATGTGCGAGGTTTTAGTGACACACAGACAACGTCAGATTGAACTATTAATTGACAGCACCAAAATCATTTTGCATTGGCCGGGAATCGAACCCGGGCCTCCCGCGTGGCAGGCGAGAATTCTACCATTGAACCACCAATGCGCTATGTTGATGTTCCATCACGGACATTTCGGGAAATATTGAATTTTATGTGACATAATGCAGATTAAGTTAGTATCAGTACTCGATAATGTAGATTCCATATATATACAAATAATCTAGTCAGTTGTATCCACCTGAAATTTACATACGTCTCGCATGGGCAATGTCGAGATTTCCGCGCTTTTAGTGACACACAGACAACGTCATAATGAACTGTTAATTGACAGCACCAAAATCATTTTGCATTGGCCGGGAATCGAACCCGGGCCTCCCGCGTGGCAGGCGAGAATTCTACCACTGAACCACCAATGCGATATGTTGTTGTTCTATCACGGACATTTCAGGAAATATTGAACTTTATGTGACATAATGCAGATTAAGTTAGTATCAGAACTTGATGATGTAGATTCCATATCTATACAAATAATCTAGTCAGTTGTTTCCGACTGAAATTTACATACATCTCGCATGGGCAATGTGCGAGATTTCCGCGCTTTTAGTGACACACAGACAACGACATATTGAACTATTAATTTACAGCACCAAAATCATTTTGCATTGGCCGGGAATCGAACCCGGGCCTCTCGCGTGGCAGGCGAGAATTCTACCACTGAACCACCAATGCGATATGTTGTTGTTCTATCACGGACATTTCAGGAAATATCGAACTTATGTGACATAATGCAGATTAAGTTAGTATAAGAACTTGATGACATAGATTCCATATCTATACAAATATTCGCGTGGCAGGCGAGAATTCTACCATTTAACCACCAATGCGCTATGTTGTTGTTCCATCACGGACATTTCAGGAAATATTGAATTTCATGTGACATAATGCAGATTAAGTTAGTATCAGTACTCGATAATGTAGATTCCATATCTATACAAATAATCTAGTCAGTTCTTTCCACCTGAAATTTACATACGTATCGCATGGGCAATGTGCGAGATTTCCGCGCTTTTAGTGACACACAGAAATAACGTCATATTGAACTATTAATTGACAGCACCAAAATCATTTTGCATTGGCCGAGAATCGAAGCCGGGCCTCCCGCGTGGCAGGCGAGAATTCTACCACTGAACCACCAATGCGCTATGTTTTTGTTTTATCACGGACATTTCAGGAAATATTGAATTTTATGTGACATAATGCAGATTAAGTTAGTATCAAAACGCGATAATGTAGATTCCATATCTATACAAATAATCTAGTCAGTTGTTTCCACCTGAAATTTACATACATCTCGCATGGGCAATGTGCGAGATTTCCGCGCTTTTAGTGACACACAGACAACGTCATATTGAACTACTAATTGACAGCACCAAAATCATTTTGCATTCTCCGGGAATCGAACCCGGGCCTCCCGCGTGGCAGGCGCAAATTCTACCACTGAACCACCAATGCGCTACATTGTTGTTCTTTCACGGACATTTAAGGAAATATTGAACTTATGTGACATAATGCAGATTAAGTTAGTATAAGAACTTGATGATGTAGATTCCATATCTATACAAATAATCGCGTGGCAGGCGAGAATTCTACCATTGAACCACCAATGCGCTCTGTTGTTGTTCCATCACGGACATTTCAGGAAATATTGAATTTTATGTGACATAATGCAGATTAAGTTAGTATCAGTACTCGATAATGTAGATTCCATATCTATACAAATAATCTAGTCAGTTGTTTCCACCTGAAATTTACATACGTATCGCATGGGCAATGTGTGAGATTTCCGCGCTTTTAGTGACACACAGAAATAACGTCATATTGAACTATTAATTGACAGCACCAAAATCATTTTGCATTGGCCGGGAATCGAACCCGGGCCTCCCACGTGGCAGGCGAGAATTCTACCACTGAAAAACCAATGCGATATGTTGTTGTTCCATCACGGACATTTCAGGAAATATTGAATTTTATGTGACATAATGCAGATTTAGTAAGTATCAAAACGCGATAATGTAGATTCCATATATATACAAATAATCTAGTCAGTTGTTTCCACCTGAAATTTACATACATCTCGCATGGGCAATGTGCGAGATTTTTGTGACACACAGACAACGTCAGATTGAACTATTAATTGACAGCACCAAAATCAGTTTGCATTGGCCGGGAATCGAACCCGGGCCTCCCGCGTGGCAGGCGAGAATTCTACCATTGAACCACCAATGCGCTATGTTGTTGTTCCATCACGGACATTTCAGGAAATATTGAATTTTATGTGACATAATGCAGATTAAGTTAGTATCAGTACTCGATAATATAGATTCCATATCTATACAAATAATCTAGTCAGTTGTTTCCACCTGAAATTTACATACGTATCGCATGGGCAATGTGTGAGATTTCCGCGCTTTTAGTGACACACAGAAATAACGTCATATTGAACTATTAATTGACAGCACCAAAATCATTTTGCATTGGCCGGGAATCGAACCCGGGCCTCCCGCGTGGCAGGCGAGAATTCTACCACTGAAAAACCAATGCGATATGTTGTTGTTCCATCACGGACATTTCAGGAAATATTGAATTTTATGTGACATAATTCATATTAAGTTTGTATCAGAACTCGATAATGTAGATTCCATATCTATACAAATAATCTAGTCAGTTGTTTCCACCTGAAATTTACATACATCTCGCATGGGCAATGTGCGAGATTTCCGTGCTTTTAGTGACACACAGACAACGTCATATTGAACTACTAATCGACAGCACCAAAATCATTTTGCTTTGGACGGGAATCGAACCCGGGCCTCCCGCGTGGCAGGCGAGAATTCTACCACTGAACCACCAATGCGCTATGTTTTTGTTTTATCACGGACATTTCAGGAAATATTGAATTTTATGTGACATAATGCAGAGTAAGTTAGTATCAAAACGCGATAATGTAGATTCCATATCTATACAAATAATCTAGTTAGTTGTTTCCACCTGAAATTTACATACATCTCGCATGGGCAATGTGCGAGATTTTAGTGACACACAGACAACGTCAGATTGAACTATTAATTGACAGCACCAAAATCAGTTTGCATTGGCCGGGAATCGAACCCGGGCCTCCCGCGTGGCAGGCGAGAATTCTACCATTGAACCACCAATGCGCTATGTTGTTGTTCCATCACGGACATTTCAGGAAATATTGAATTTTATGTGACATAATGCAGATTAAGTTAGTATCAGTACTCGATAATGTAGATTCCATACATATACAAATAATCTAGTCAGTTGTATCCACCTGAAATTTGCATACGTTTCGCATGGGCAATGTGCGAGATTTCCGCGC